CTCACAGAAGCTTATCGAAAAAGCCAGCTCGATACATTTCGTGCCAAACACTTCAGGACACATTAGAATGCGTCACACAGACATTCTAATGTAAAAAGAAAAACATAATAATTTAACTTAAGATTAGGCTGTATGGGCATTGTTCCCCTTGCCTTTCCTGAAAAGGGAGAATTTAACAAAAAAAAAGTTATTACCAACACACGGTGATGTCAAAAAATCCTGGAATTAAATTCGTTTGAGGAGGTACCTCCTTGTCTTCATAAAGGGGCTTACCGCTTGCGGTTATAATATCGAGCCACTCTTATTTTACTCTGATTAATGTTTAAAGACAACAACATAAACGTAGGCTTGTTGTTGAAAATATATCGATGTATCGATATATCGATATTTTTTGTTCGATATATCGATATTTTTAGCCGATATATTTTGATTCCATATATAGATACATCGATACAAAATGACCAATATCGAAATGCGTATCAAAAACGATATTTTTTTTAAATTATTAGCGGCATATCACGATCTAACTAAATTCGTATCTGGAAAAATCGTAACTGGATCTCAGATTAATGATATTCAACATATCTATGATCGGTGCTGTATTTAGTATTGTCTATGATTTGTAAATCTGTTTCGTTGGTGAATTGGTTGTGCTGAATTCCATTATATTCTGTGGAAGTGTGTGACTGTCTAGTCCTGTTTACAAAAGATGGCATCTGAGAGGCCGATATATTGGTCCGATATATCGATATATCGATGTTTTTTTCGCGATATATCGAAGCCGATATTGATATTTTTAAAAATATCGATGTATCGATATATCGATATTTTTTTCAACTTTCAACATCCCTACATAAACGGATTTTATGCTTTATGGAATTATAAAATTGAGTTAAGATTATGTTCCATCTGCGCACAGGGAAACCTTTGTATTCGAAATAAGAAGAAATAAAAGCTCGTAAAAACAGAGCCTTGGTGGATATCAAAATATGTTTTATTAACCAATGTTAAGGTAAAGAAAGCAAATCTCGCAAGAATGAATGTGCCACATTCAATATATTATTTCATGGAAGTGTTGGATCGATATTCCTCATATTGAAGTGGCTCGGCTCGGGTATTATAAATAATTAATTGTTTATGAAGCGGCGGCAGTAAAATATGAATGTACAAATACAACACACCTACAGAAAGAAGGTTATGTCTCACATTTAAAGGTTGTTAAAAAATCGCTAGAATTTAAAAACTATTTTCGTCAACGTTAATTTTATTGAACTTTAGTCAAGTTTCCATAAAAATAATTTGTCGATACTTTTTTTTTAAATCAGACTTTTCAATTTTGAACATTGTAACTACAATTATGTGTCGCCGCACCCCGTGTGTACTAACGACCACAACCACAAAATGCCGCCACCGGCATATTTCATGTAGTTTTCATACATTTTATATGGACTCGCCACACCCGATACGCCGGTGGCCGCCACTCGCTACAAATCGTCGTTGCTCGCTTCTTGTGGCCCACACCGCCCACTTAATTCGCCGATACAAAACGCCGCCACACGTATAATGTGATTCAACTAAGAATAGGACCGACTGGGCGCAATATTGTGATGTCATAGCTGTCAATTCCAACGAAATAGGTAGAGTGAACAAAAAAAAGTTATTATTTAATAAAACTTATAAACTAAGATTAAGTGAGAAAAAGCAACAGTTTTTTTTAGTAACATTTATTTACTAATATTGAGAAAAAAAACACCGATTTTTAATAATATTTATTTATTAAAACTGTGAAAAACATTAATCAAAATCTAGCTCTTCTATTCCGATCATCTCTGCATTACCGCCTTAGTAGTTATGAATAATCATGCACTATTACTAGGTCACATACGAACATGCATCCTTTATGTAAACGAAAGTTTGAAATCGAGTTTCTGAACGCAACTTAAAGTGACATTTGGTTGACGATTTAGTTTATCTACCATTCATGGCCAAAGCTCAATAAGTAAAAAAAAAATATCAACCGATATTAATTATCAATATTTGTTATTGTTTGTTTACAAATGTTTGGTTTTTATTATAGAATTAGCAGAGTGCTAAAAAGGGTTCCAAGTTTTTTTTGTAAACCGTACTTTTCAAGCGACATTTGTCAGATAGAGGTCATTGGCTTTCCTATTCTTATTTAAATCGCATTATACGCGATATTCATAATGGTTTCTTTAGTAAGTCTGGTCATTGCGGCCACTGGTCTTGGTTGTGACCGTCGAGTGAGCTAGGTGCCTTAAAATAGCACAAGAAGTTATATATAGGCTGTAGTGGTCGCTTATCACCACATCAGGCGCGCCATTATGCTTGTACGCCATCTTTTTATTATATTAAAAAATGCTAATATAATATCAAAGTACCATCAACATAGGGATGTCGAAAGTTGAAAAAAATATCGATATATCGATATATCGATATTTTAAAAAATATCAATATCGGCTTCGATATATCGCGAAAAAAACAACGATATATCAATTTATCGGACCAATTTTCCCAAAAATATCGCTCACGAAATATGACACGCGGAATAATAATGGAACGAAAATTATCTCCCTAAAAATAGACCCTATTTTCGAATGATGACATAGACAATATTAAATATCGCACAGATCATAGATATGTTGTATATCATTAATCTGAGATCCAGTTACGATTTTTCCAGATACGAATTTAGTTAGATCGTGATATGCCGCTAATAATTAAAAAAATATCGTTTTTGATACTAATTTCGATATTGGTTATTTTGTATCGATGTATCGATATATCGAATCAAAATATATTGGCAAAAAATATCGATATATCGAACAAAAAATATCGATATATCGATACATCGATATATTTTCAACAAGCCTACATCAACATACGATATTGTGCGATATTGAAATAGGTCTGGAAGAAAATTTCTTAGTCATATTTTTTACAATAACTCAGACCTCTATTTTCAAAATTATCTTTATGCCTCATATTTAAAACTGTATTAATAATATTTGACGCTATGCCCCATACAATATGTATAAAAGTGGCTGAATGATGATGATGTGAATGAGGCAGGGTGCTTTAAAAAAGTATGTTTTTTTTAAAGTGAAAACTTCCTTAGTATCTGTGACTTAATATTCGATGAAATGAAAGTAGAGTATTTGACACAAGATTATAATTAACTACAAGAGACAGGTAGCCGAATGGTAACGGTCTTGAGGTCGACACCAAATGATCGGTGGTCCGATCTTGAGTTCGGTAATTTTTTTAATTGTTTTAATTGTGTTTTTTTTCTTTAATGATTTCTATTAAGCTATTATTTATTTTTCGAAATGATTTAAGAATAGAACATGTAAATTTGCCCAGTATTTTACAGTACCTGAATAGTTGAGTATTGAACGTTTGGAAGGCGGCTAAGTTGTTTATTAATATATGCTCGGTTTTCATCAACAATCCTTACCTTTCCAATGTTTGCAATTCTTTTAAAATATTTTTTATAAATGAATATTTCGAAAAAACCTAAGATAAGAAAAACTTGGCAAAAAAAAAATTTGCTGGTAACAAATAAAACAATTATGTGTTCACATTTTTGTAGGTTTTTAATTGTAACGCAAATTAAACTATGATCTTTTCACATAACTGACGATGATAAAGCGTGATAATGACCAAAAATCAGGACCGCCCACAGAGGACACTCAACTGTCCTCGGACGTTTAACGGGAAAACTTTTATGACACTCAAGTGTCATGGGACGTTTGGGACTGTTAAAGATTGAGAATAGGCATCACAACAACCGTGGTGATTTGTATAAGTCTAAGTTTTATACGGTTGTGTTTTTTCATCATTTTTAAAACTATCGCAAAGGCAGGGTAGTCCCAAGCAACAAAATTATCCTATAATGCACATTTTATAGTCCTGAAGCACTAATAAAGATCTCTTAGTGCTTCTAGAAATTACTGCCATGCCTTTAAAAGCATGTTCGGAATCTATTTGGCTTTGTAGTACATCTATTCTTATACATTTATTTATTATCGTTTATAGACCCGTTTTACCAGCACAGTATAAGCTAAGATGTCCTATAGGGGTACTGCAAAAGTGTTAACGCGCTCAAGAATAAATGGTTCTGTAAGCTATACTTGTAATGGACTACAAGGATCTTAATAAATCCAATAAAAATAAAGTATGCATTTAATAGTATTTATTGGAACTAATCGTACTGGAAACCATTTTCACTTGTTACTTGATTTTATAAAGGTTTTTAGGTTGACATTATGGATCAATAATGGGTAACTGAGTTTATAACGGTTTAGTCTAAGAGTAACCGAACTTGGTTCTAATGTAAATATGTCGAGCACTGTTGTAGTCTTAACACGTTTATAATGATCCTATATAATATAATTACCAATCAAAATAAACTTCGTGAAACCACGTAAAAGAATACTATTGCTTATAATGGTCTCAAAAATATATTTTTGGGACCATTTTGGTTTTTTTTATCGTGGTTGTCAATGTTTTTGCTTTTTGTCACTATTTTTTACGTTTTTTGTATACAAATCCTTTAAAAATGGATTTAAATAAATGGAAGCGATTGAAAAAAAGTGGTTCATACAAAAGAAAAGTACAAAAAACATATCAACAGTTAATTCATGTGTCAGGTCGCAGTTTTATATCAGGCAAGGAAAGTGACGTAAAAGTTGGCGAAGGTTCCGCACAAAATTGCCAATGTGAAATTTTCACACAAAATGATGTTATTGATAATTCGACACAGAATAACGCTGATTCAGATTCACAGCAAGAGGAAAATATTAGTGGAGAATCTTTGCAAGGAAGTGAATATAGTATAGAAGACGAAGGCAGTTCAAAATATCAGGGAAATTTTAAATTGCGTTGTGATGTTAGAGAATGGGCTGTTGAGTACAATATAAGACATACAGCGTTAAATGCATTATTAGAAATTTTGAACAAAAACACAAAGTTCGTTCTACCTAAGGAGGCCCGAACACTTCTGGAGACAAATAAAGAAAATCAGGTTTTTCATTTTTCCGCTCCAGGGGAATACTGGCATAATGGACTGATCAAATGCATAAGAAATATTTTTCGAGAACTTTCCTTTCCACCTGACAAAATTTCTTTAAATATAAACATTGATGGATTGCCAGTATTCAAAAGCTCAAAATATCAGTTTTGGCCCATTTTGTGCTCTATATATGAAATTCCTCTATCACCTTTTGTCGTGGGTAAATACATGTATCTAAAGTCAGCTTCATATTACAAAGTGAAAAATCTCTGATTAAGTTTTTTTTATAGGTATATATGGTGGTGGAGGAAAACCTTCAGATTTGGATGCTTTTTTAGGACATTTTGTTTTAGAACTGAAGCAACTTCAAGATGGTATTACAGTAACTACTAAATTACAAAGAGAAATAATGTTGTATGTTAAAATACGAGCATTTATTTGTGATTCACCCGCTAGAGCTATGATTAAAGGTTGTTATTATTTACATCTAAGTACTTCAACAATTGGTGATATACATTAATGTAATTTCTATGTGAAACGATTCTTTTGAAACAAATTTGTTACAGGTGTCTCTAATTTTAATAGCAAACATGGATGCTTAAAATGTACCGTGATCGGAGAATACTCCCACAAATCAAATACTGTGTATTTTCCTCATTCAAATTGTTCTAAAAGAAATAACGACGATTTTCGTCTAAAGAAATATGGGCCACACCACAAATTAGACTCACCGTTACTCAAACTGAACATAGATATGATTGAAGATTTCCCAGTGTCGGATTCACTGCATCTCATTGATTTAGGTATTATGAAAAGACTAATTACGGGTTGGCGTGATGGCAATTTTGGTATGTACCTCTCAAAATGGAGTTTTCGTGACATAGAGAAAGTTGACAGTTTTTTAATTAATTGTAAAATGCCTACAGAAATACATCGCTCCGTTAGATCACTGGAGGTTTTAAAATTCTGGAAAGGTTCAGAGTACCGTTGTTTTCTGTACTATCTGAGTTTCATAATTCTTAAAGAGGTTTTAAGACTTGAACCCTATTTACATTTTATGTATTTATTTTGCGCTATTACAATTTGCTCTAATGAAAAACATTTGAAATTCCTTCAAATCGCTGAAAAAATGTTGGACAAATTTATAGAAAATTTTCAAAAGATATATGGCAAAGACTATGTTACTAGCAATATTCACAATCTCTCACACTTGGTGGATGAGGTCAAAAAGTTAGGAATTCTACAAACTTTTAATGCCTATGAATTTGAAAATAAACTTCAACATTTGAAACGTATGGTAAGACATGGAAATGAGGGACTTCGACAAGTTGCAAGAAGAATCACCGAAAGAGATTTAGTAGAAGTAAAAAGTATTACCGAAGAAAATAAAAAACGCCCAGTGATAAAGAAAACCAAACGTGGAGACAACATTTTAAATTTAGGTACTTTTATATTATCAAAAAAAAATCAAGACAAATGGTTTCTTACAAACAGCAATCAGGTGGTTGAGTTAGTATCTGTTGCAAATGTTAAAAATAGTCATACACAGGAGCAAGACATCGAAATACGTGGTTATGTTGTTAAACAAAGTCAAGATGCATTCGAAGAACCACTAAAATCATCCTTTTTAAATATATATCAATGTAATTATAATGAAATCAACAACAAAAGGAAGGAAGAAGTTTTAAGAATTTCAAATGTAAAATGTAAACTTGTCAGTGTTTTATACGGGACAAAAATGTTTTTTGTGCCGCTATTACATACTTTGTGAGATAGCATTTTCTATGTGTATTACGTAATAATAAATAAAAAGCGTTTTTTTTGTAGTAAATTTTTATTTCAGTCTGTTAAAACAATTTCGATAGGTTAACTATTTAAGTAAAGCATTTCTAATGCTAACGTTAGTAGCGGTGCTACTTTATATTAAAATGTATAATCAGATAATAATCAGTCTTATCATTTTATGTTTGAATATATTCATTAGATACTGACTTAGTCTTCGTGGGCCAGTCATTAATAATATTTTAGTCTTTTATTATCTTTTCAATACAAAATAAGTATAAGCAATGACTAGATATAATTATGATTCTTAGCGAGTAAAGTTAAGTCGGTAATACTTAAACTTCAACATTTATACATACACATAACGTATAGTAGTATACTTTTTGCGTTTTTAACTTAACTTACTTAACTTTACTCGCTAAGTATCATATTTATATCTAGTCATTGTTTTTATTATATATACTTATTACAAATTATATTGGATATATAGCAGGTTCGGCACACGGTTGCTTTAGTTCGTCAGGTTCGTCGTACCTACTCATCAACTTTTACTATAATACCAAGTCCGTAATTAATCAAATCTGTTCTTTCTACCGACACATAGAACAGCTACCTGTTCTGCACCTTTTTAAAGACTAAGTATTGTACTACTACAATTACAAGGATGTGAAATTCCCACCTACCTACCTACCAACCGTGTGCCGTACACCATACATAATAAATCAAAAATTAAAAATACTCTGGAACTATGAAATAAAGAACTAAGTCTCTTTTTATATCTACAAAACTTATAACTACGACAAACGATAATCAACGCTGAAACGTTATAAAATCATATCTGGTAATTCAATTTAATAACAAAATTATTGACTCACTTATTACTCTCTACAAAGTTATAGCACGTTTTTCAGTTATTTAATTTACTTCTCCAACAAACAAAACTTATCACTACTTCTCTCATTAACAAAACTTAAACACAAAATTATTGACTCACTTATTACTCTCTACAAAGTTATAGCACGTTTTTCAGTTATTTAATTTACTTCTCCAACTAACAAAACTTATCACTACTTCTCTCATTAACAAAACTTAAACACAAAATTATTGACTCACTTATTACTCTCTACAAAATTATAGCACGTTTTTCAGTTATTTAATTTACTTCTCCAACTAACAAAACTTATCACTACTCCTCTCATTAACAAAACTTATACACTTATAGGTACACAAAATTATTGACTTAATTATTACTCTCTACAAAATAATGGCACGGTTTTTAGTTACATAATTTACTTCTCCAACAAAAAAACATATCACTACTTCTCTCATTAACAAAACTTATACACTTATAGGTACACAAAATTATTGACTTACTTATTACTCTCTACAAAATTATAGCACGTTTTTCAGTTATTTAATTTACTTCTCCAACTAACAAAACTTATCACTACTTCTCTCATTAACAAAACTTATACACTTTTAAGTACACAAAATTATTGACTTACTTATTGCTCTCTACAAAATTTTGGCACGTTTTTCAGTTATTTAATTCACTTCTCCAACTAACAAAACTTATCACTACTTCTTTCATTAACAAAACTATTCACTTTTCCATTTTATCGAAGAATTATTTTTCCGAGATTTTGCTCATGTTATTATATGATTAACCACATGAGCAAACTTTCGGTAAATCCATTAATTAACAATCCATCGATTAATTAATTATTCGATGAATTAGAGTCCGAGAAGATTGGATCCTAAGAATGTAACCTTTATGTGTCTGTGTCCGTTTGTGTGTGTTGTGTCCTATTGTTGTTGGAAAGAAGATTTTTGTTTCTACTCTTTTTAATTGTTCGTATTTTTGGAGCCGACATCCTTTGACTGCTTTCGCAACGTTTTCGTGCATTTTTCAAAATAATTTTTAAAAATTTTTCGCAATCTTTTTTTGTATAAGTTGTATCTGTCGCATGAACAATATCAAAGAAAATACTAATTGTTCTTTTGAATGCTTTAAAACATATTTTTGACGTTTCGTCTTTGGATAGACCAGTCCACGTGCATTCTGTTAAAAACTTTCGATCGAATATCGCGTCAATTAAATAATATGCGTTTGCACTGCCTTTACCTGATCCTTTTGTACATACAACACCTAATTTCTGTATTAACCCTTCTCTATATGTTTTATTTTCCAGATTGTTTTCTAATTCTTCAAATTCTTGTAAACTTTTTATGAGATCTACCTCAGCGTTTTCTTTATTTTTTGAACTTATTTGAATAAAAGATGTTATATCATGATGTATTTCAGCCAGCTTAGCTGCCATGTTGTTTTGTATTTCGTAAAGTGAGTTTTGGTTTAACATTACGGTGTTAATTTCTTCTTTTACAGATTTTAAATCAAGCTGAAGCTGCTGTAAACTATCTGAATTCAATAGCACGACACTATCCTGATCTAAATGAACGTTTGGCAACCCTGTCTCCGGTAGTGGAACTTGAGGAATATTTATTTCTGGAATGATATTGTAATTTATTTCCTGTGAGACTGCTGTACAGTTTTCATATTGAGTGGTTGATAGGTTTTGCTGAGTTTGGGCTGTTGACGTAGCACTAACTAATTGCTCTTGATCACTATTCTGCAAAAATAAATTTATATTATTAGATATCACTTTCAACCACATAAGATGTACATGTAGAGAATATTATGGACTAGTCGTGGAAGGACAAAACGCTTTAAATATTGAAAAAGAACTTTATTCTGCTATGAAGGCTTGAAACGCAAACAAATATGGTGGTTTGCATCATTAAATGAGTGGTTTGAAATGGGCATTTACATAGGTAAACCAATGTATCATCACGCCCCAGGTCTTCAAGGAATATAATTACTTACTACCAAGGTTTTCGCCTCATCGTTGAACGATTTTGCTGCCAAGAGGTTGTCTTTTTTGCGACCTGTTTGTTGATAACCTTCCTGATCTGTTTCAGTTTCAGACCTATCACTCATTGCGTCAATTTCATCAACTGCTTCTTGAAAAGTTCTCAAATTTGTTCTTTTTACGTGACACGGCATTGTATCCCAAGAGATACTAGGTGGGCTATTTTCTTGTCTCCTTAATTTTTCTGCAGCTTTTTTTGGCCAAAATAGTATATTGTTGTGCTCCCATTGATCTGGCACAGCCGTTAACTTTAACTGGCCGTTTTCAATAGTTTGAATTACTTTAAATGGCATAACAAAAATCTGTAATAGAATAAACATAGATAAGGCATGTGTATAGGTAAATATATTTTGTTTTATTATTATTTTAGGGTAATTATTTATGTTTATTTTACAATATCTATTTACATTTATTAGTGGGTTATTTAAGTGTATATGCCTGCGTTTAAAATTGAATTATTAACCCTCAACCACAGAAGGACTGGCTCATCAATCATAAATTGTCGGAACACAATAATGCGTAGGACGCGAACGTCTATCCTCTGATACAGTTGACGGCCGACTGAACATAACATATACTGTTTGGACTGACTGAACTGTCGGCCGCCGACGTGAACGATTGCTCGTATGCGCACCTTCTTAAGCAATCCTGGAGTTTACGTCCATTGGCGTACTATTTAGTTGGCGATCGGTCTCATTTGTTTCGATTGAACAGTTAAATCGGTGCCGTATGCATTGATTTTTGTCAACCCACTAAACTATTGAGTTGATAAACTATCGTCCGTGTAGCTAGGCCCTTAGGCGCGCGACGACCGTACCTACGGTTGTACCAGTCTAGTTATGTTGTAATGTATACCTACATGAACAAGCGCGCCGTCCGCCACGAGGAAGCGAGCGGCGTAAATATTACCTTTCTTCATTATATTTTTACGTTAATTTTGGCGGTCGACTTTAAAAAGCAATTATTTTCCTTAAAAAGTATAAAAGAAAACTATACAAAGGGAAACAAGAAATAATGCACAACTACAAAAGAAGTTTGAAATCGGTTTCTGAATCCTAACAAGGAAAAATAGGTAATTATTAAGTACGTACCTGTAATTTGGAGATAAAGTTGACATTTATTTATATTACATAGTTTTTGTAGGTATCCTATCTAAAATAATCTTACAACTTCTTAGTTTTTATATAAGTAATAGTAATAAAGTTTACCTCACAAAGACCGCACACAATGATAGGTATTATGAAGTACCTATAGGTATAATGTTGCTTAATTTGTGTTGAAATCGGCTCAGTTCAATTTAAAACTGTCGGAAAGACTCACTCACTTCCGAAAACAAATGAATAAAATATTAGTGTCTAGGATACGATTAGGTTAGGAGCTGACTAGAAGATTGGCGCGAACTATACCATGACGCAGCAGGCTCGTGATTGCTCTCGGCAGACTGACTAATAGAGAGAGAGAGAATAGATAGCGCGCTCGTGACGTGCGTGAGTCTTCACGACGTGCGCGGGGTGAAGCACCGCCCCCCGCTATCCATGACAACGACCGCTGCCACAGTACATAGATTCTGTGTGTGTTTTGTTAGGTATTGTATTCAGGTACATGTTTATTTTTTACTGCTTACTACTTAGTATGTACATACTGTTAATTAATGTTTAGTACAACGTATAGTAGATACTAAAACGTTCTATACTTATACCATAATATGAGCATAGTGCAAGTATAAGTAAGTAAATATTATGTATTGTATGGATGGAATCATGTACGTAACTATCTATGTAATAATTAATGACATAAAAGAAGTAATAATTTTGACTACATCAGATTAGGTTTAGCTTTAATTTTAGAAAATTACCAAATTCACATTCATCACTGGTGAAGTGGTCATAAACTGAGAAGAATTTGCAATTTTCACACCAAAATTTATCTTCTTTTAATAATGATCTTATGTGTTCTTCTTCCATAACAAAATGAATTGGTCGTCCTCCACAGTATTTTGAAATTCTATAGCCACAGCCATGACAACTGTGAGACAACATGAAATGTGTTACGTTCCAAGGCCATCTTCTAGTATTTAAAGCTTGAAAATCCTTTTTAGTCATAAAACGGTCGACGTCCATAAACACTACCATCTTAGATTCAGTGGTTGACACCTAAACATAAAAATACTATGTGAAACTACGCAAACAAGTTTTTATTAACTATTCAAGAATTGTTAAAATTAGGTATGCAATATAACCATATTTATCTTGAAATTTTCACTTTGACACTGGCAGACAGATTACACTACTTAGGTATGTTGAGGGGGGGGGGGGGGGTGCTTATTTATATCACTATTTGAAGTAATTGTTAACACCATCATCATCATTTATGTTTGGCTACTTAATTTCCTACTTGCTAATGACAGGTATACCTAACGATAATTTAGGAACTTTATTTTTTGGTCATTACAAATGGTCGCTATATGTTAAGTAATATCCCATTGAAAATGAATGGGTTTTAGTAATGTTTGTGGAACCCTAATTCTGAACATGGCGTATTACTTGATCTATGTTATTTATAATGCAAACTTTTTTGAAACCAAATACGTTTATAATGGCTCTGTAATGAACTTCAGAGAACTAGGTACATAAAAATGGCGATTTAAACAGTATGCCTTATTAAAATCAATATTATTTTGAAATGTACCTTATTATATACGCTAATTTCAAAAGGCGAGTAAAAATTTTAATTTGAAACATAATATACTTCACCGTAAATATATGTTTGCCACCCGAACGCATGTATTGTATTGTATGACAGTGTAACTTATCATAAAATAAAAAAGAATGAAATAACTTACCTTAATATTTTATGGGCATCAACGCCACGCACCACAGTTGACACACATTCACAACTAATTTTGAAGAGCTTGTAATATCAGCCCGGAGTACATTAAAACCGTGTATGGTTCTTTAAGGCGCTGTTAGTTTTCTTCGTGGGGAGCAGTTAGTGTCACGTGTTCCCACTATAAGGAAACTATTCGTCTAAGCGGTAGTCACCAAATATACTATGGGTGTCTTAAAAGAAAGAGTACGCCTATAAAATGGGCCCTTTTCCGTGGTTATAAGAGTCTACTAGTCCATTATAATCGTGAAAAATGGTGGTCCCAGGATAATTATAAAACCCACATTTTGTTCCTTGGGGTGTCTTTGTAATCAATCAATCCCCCAATCTCACGGGGTACCGGATTCGGTCCCCGGTCGCATGTGAACAGCACATCTCTTTTTTTATCCTCCGTATTTAACTGCTAGATGTTTAAATCAAAATAAAATATTACTACAAAAAATCTTGTCTGAAACCTAGGGCCCGATCCAACGGGGGACGAGCCGGGCATTTGCCCAAAACGGGAAAAGTTAGGGGCGGCAAAATTGCCTTAGGCTCAGCGGTAAAGTATATATAAACATTTATGCCCGGAGCGGCCAAATTTCTAGATCGAGCTGCTGAAACCTCCTGACCGAGTGGATGTTTTTAGTAATAATTTATTTTGATTCAAACTGTTTGTAAAAATAATATTCCTGTTTTAAAATACCACCAATCCACCACATAGATATAGTACAAACAAAAATAAATTAAAGATTTCAATGAAATTAGCAACTTCCGCTTTTATTGAAGTTCGCAAAAAGCAGTTTAATTATCAGGTACTTAATTCAAACAAAATACGAAAATGGTTTTCACAGAACTAATTCATTTTCGATAATTTGTATAATTAAATATACTGACCTATTTTAATACTCAACAATCAAATTACTTAATTACTGAAAAGGGAAGTCCCTTTTTGTAATTTGTCATTTTGTTTACCAACGTACTTGTATCGTGCTTCGATACCGTGACAGTAATTAATTAAATTGAGTGTAGGCTCAGTTCTTATAGTTGTTTAATTAATTTCTTTCTGTTCTCAGGTCGAAGGGTACCCTGAAGACCGCATGTCTACTGTTGTGGCCGGATGGTTTGCCAGATGTATCCTATATGGATTATATGTAAGTATTATTTATGTCATGTAAGGTATTAAAATCATTTTACTAGAAAAAACAGCGTGTGTACAGAATATGTACGCATGACAGAAGTGAAACGAACTTTCATAATAAAAAAAAACGACGAGTTGCACTCCGGGAGTGCCGGCAGAAGTGAAAACTTGAATATTGACGTTGTGCATTTTTGATATTTTGGAATGGTTAGGGAACAATTTTGCACGAATTGCTTTAATTATCAGTATAAAAGTAATATCATGTAGGTATGTGGTAGAATACAATATTTATTTATTGCATTATCGTACACAAACATGACAATTTATATTACATTAAAAAAGTTTATCTCAGAAAAATCAGCTTACATGGATCACGTATAAGCGCACTTAGCGACATCTATTGCAAAGAAATCAACTAACATGAATCACATTTAAGCGCACCTAGCGACATCTATTGTAAAAAATGCATTTTCTTTGCAATAAAGCTACCAAGTGGACGTCCTAGAGAGCAACTTATTATTATAATACGATAAAATAAAATATTGCTATGTTTCGTCCAATATATTGAAAGTCAACAACCTTTCCAATTTTATTGTGTGTCATGATGCGATCAGCCCACGTGTTTAACCTGACGCGAGTTTAACAGTTCTTACCCATACAAAAATAGTGTACAACGCCGCTAAAGAAGTTTTCACTTCAATAATTTTAAAAATATAAAGTAACATAATGACAAAATTTAAAAAAACAAATAAAATCAGTACTCTATAATTTAAAGTCGTCCCACTAAAATCTGATGCTTAATCACGACGCGGCCTTGAAAAGTTACCCTCATCGCGCGCAAAGAAGTTTCACAACAAAAATCTATTCAGTCCATCGGCATTCTTATGCTGTTGGTCGCAGATGACCTTTACAGCGTCATCGGGTTTGGGGACGGCGAGATCCTAATGGGACCTCAAGCCGAGAATTGGCGAGTGCCTCTGGAGGTATTCCGGTCGGATGGCGTCTCCCCACGGGAGGAGTCTCCTCTCCATCTGGAGCCTCCAGACCACTCGAACCTGAGGCGGTCGGCTCAACTAGAGGGCGTCTCTGAGACTCGGACCTCGGCTCTAGTTAGCCGTTGTCGTGGGGGCCATCGGCATTCGGTTTCGGAAGGCACGTTGAGACTGATGCACTGGGCCCGCGCGGTGGGTCATGTCCCGATCTTTCTTTTTGATTAAATAGTGCAACCCAGTGACCATCTCTAAAAATCGGAAAACAGATTTTTTTTTGGAGATGGCAATGCTAGCTTTGTCATCTCTGAAAATAGGAAAACTGGATTTACCCACCAAAAAAGCCGTACTTTTCATTTGTATATTTTTCTTTATTTTCACATTTGAACAAAAGGCGAACTTGGGTAGAGCGATGTGTGAGGCTTGTCAAAAGAAAAAAAGCCAGACGGGCCGAAAGCAGTCAAATTGGCCCGGACAAGAGATCAAAGTCTCCAATACTGTGGTATTGTGTAGTCTTAAGACGAAAAATGCGAAAGTGTTTCTGTCGACAATATGTTAACTTTTCGCGCTTAAACCGCTCCGCCGTTTTAGAAGAAATTTGGTAAAGATAAAGTTGCAGTCCTGGAAAAGAACATAGGACGACCTCTGTGGCCGAGTGGTTCGGGTTTCATGGTGTCGCCGACTCGAGAGGTCCTGGGTTCGAATCCCGGTGGGGGCAGATGTTTGTGTGATGAATACGAGCATTTGTACTCCAGTCATGGATGTTTAATATGTATTTCTATATAAATATACTTATATATGTATACCGTATATGTATTCTATCCGTTACCCTAGTATCCCATAACACAAGCCTTACAGTGCTTACTTTGGGGCTAGGCTAATTGGTGTGAGTGTTGGAAATATTTATTTATTTATTTATTTATAGGATAGTTCGTATCTCAGAAACCATGCTTTGATTTAATGGGGTCAAAAGTCGGGGCACCCACTATTTAATAATAATTATGTTAATAAACTTTCTCGCACACAAAACAGGATACAGAGAACAGTTATAAAAATAACAAAACAGAGTAGACATTGGACGGCCTTTTTTATAATCAACATTATTTTGACTTCATGTTTATAAAAAGTTATACTTATTCAATCATTTTGAAATCCAATTAGATAAATTGCCTACGTTAATCCATTACACTCGGTGTTAATATAAAGGCAAAAGTTCTGAGAATAGAATAGAATAATACATTTATGGGAGATTGTTACGAAACAAATATTTTTAAGAAATATAAGCCACAGCCTACACAATGTACAACGTTGTTCAAACTAAGATGATTTATTACAAATTCTTTATTTAGACCTTCACTTAATTTCGTTTTCGACGTTTATACGCGATAAGATGTAAGAAAATACAAAAAGGAACCGGACAAAAATACAACAGTAAACATTTACACAGGTTTCCATGAACTTCTGCAACAACTAACAAAATGAAATCTTTTTAATTCGAAAAAACCGACTAAATAAATACAAAACTAATAAGGAAATAATTATATTTTTAAAGCATTTAACTGCTAGATGTTTAAATCTAAAGAAATGCTAGAATGAATTCGACACGACCGCATAATGGTCAGTGAATCCGCCCGGATAGCGGAGGGTGCGGGTTCAAGTTCCGTCTGCTGCCTGGTCCGCGTGGTTATTAATAAATAAATAAATACTTCCAACACTCACACCAATTAGCCTAGCCCCAAAGTAAGCACTATAAGGCTTGTGTTATGGGATGCTAGGGTAACGGATAGAATACATATACTTTACATATAGAAGTACCTTTAATAATATATTTATATAGAAATACATATTAAACATCCATGACTGGAGTACAAATGCTAGTGTTCATCACACAAACATCTGCACCCACCGGGATTCGAAACCGGGACCTCTCGAGTCGGCGACGCCATGAAACCCAGCGTACAAACCACTCGGCCACGGAGGTCGTAATTTTTTTTAAGTTAATTTTTCTTTAATTTTAAACATGAAGTAGTAAATTATACACGGTTATTTACTTAAATCTAAAGTACATTTTAAGTCAAATAAACATTTGGAGTCGGTGGCATGCATGTTGAATTGTTGATTCATCCAAGTTACCATTTACTGCTTGGGTTGGCATGACACCGCATGGGTACTGTAACCTGTAATAAACTAGAAAGTTAGTCAAAGAAAAGTAAGCATATTTATTATTGAGCCTTTCTTTCGCTCAATTGAATTAAGAAGTAACTTTTTTCCACATTTAGTGGTTTCGGTTACTAGTTTATTACGACGATTATTAAAAAAAATATCTAGTAAAACTTGGCTTATTTCTGAATGTTTTACAATAACAATAAAGATTGATGGGTCGTGGACTCGACCTTAGTGTCGCCGCACACGGACCACCGACCACAACTACAAAACGCCGCCACCGCCATATTTCTTGTAGTTTTCATACTCGAGACTCGCCACACACGGTACGCCGGTGGCCGGCACACGCTACAAATCGTCGTTGCTCGCTTCTTGTGGCCCGCACCGGCCACTTAATGCGCCGATACAAAACGCCGCCACACGTCACTCGCACGATTCCCCACCCCTCTCTTAGTCGGCCGCTGTCGCGCGCTTCAGCCACTTTAGTAGCCGCTTCTAGCTTCTCTGAGTTAGTCTCAGGCTACACATCCTCCACATCAATTGCGTCTTACAAATCAGACTAAATACGTGATTCTCATACACATCACTGATTTCTTGATCAAGCTTGAAAATGTGAAATAATTATAAACTTTATGTAGCTTTGATATTGTGAGCCTTCTAGAAGATAGATCGTATGTGTTACTTACGGACTAAGTAATCCTTGGTGACTTCCAACACAATCAAAATATGTAATATACAATGATGGATTGTATTTCCATTAGTAAGTAAGTAATTCAAGCAACGATTGATGGATAAATAAATATTATACTTTAGAGGGTGTAATGAAAGGGGGTGGGTGCCTGAAACACGATGACACACGATTTCTGAAAGACCGTTCATCGACAAAATTAACGAACAAAGCCATCAAATCTAATTTTAAATAAAACTAGTTTTAACGGGTTAATGCACGAACTTTATTTATTGACGTTTCGCAGCCTTTTCAGGTCTGCATCGTCAGAATAGCTACATTCGAAAGACTTTTATTGAGCGTTCGGATATTTCATTGGAAGATTTCTAAAACTTTATTGTCTATGTATGAATTTATTAGTTAATTTAGTTACTAAAGTAGTTTATTTAAAATTCATTTTTGTAATTTTCAGTTTATTTATTTGACCCTAACTACCATAAACTACTACCGGTTCCAAAATTGGGAGACCTTTCTGAGAAGAACCGAACCGAAACTAACTCAGAGAGGCTCTCTATCTCCTTCTTATGTTAAATCATGCAAACAAAAAGAGCTAATAGTATCTGTTGGTCTTGTAGTGTGTGCTCGGGGTTGGGATTTTATCTGTTGTATAATGGGTTCCCAAGCTGGTGGTATATACCAACCATCTTCCCTATTGAAATTTGGATATTTTTTAATCTTAATAGCCTCGCGTATCATTCTAGGAATGAATCGTTGCTCAGTTTCAAGGATCTGTGGTTTATCAAATCTAATGTAATGGTTTGGTCCCCCTAATGCATGTTCACACACTGCAGACTTATTTTCGCGCCTATGTTTCATATCTGCGATATGTTCTTTTACCCGAATCCCTATACTCCTCTTTGTTTGCCCGATGTAGGAGAGCCCACAGTCGCATTCAAGTTTGTAGACACCAGCAACTTGAAAGGGTATATTGCACTTGACAGGTCGTAGAAACTGGTTGATCTTCTTTGGCGGCTTGAAGTAAGTATTGATCGAAGCACGCTTCAGAATCCTCCCAATCTTGTCAGTGAGTCCTTTCATGTAAGGTAGTATAGCAGGTTGTCGGTCGACTGTGCTAGTTTGGCGCGACTGTGACGGCGACGTGGTACATTCAGATTATTATCCTTCAGTACTCGC